TCATTTAGGGACAATGACGCTTCTAGGAGACATACTGTTAAGAGTCCTCTGGTTTAATGCAGTGCAGTAAAAATGTTATACTTTTTTTGTATCAATCAAATCAGAATTTATTAGGAGTAAATATGTTTCACTATACTTTGAAAGGATACTGTATTAAGAATACAGTTAAACAGTAAATAGTATTGTCAAACTGTTCATTAAGCTTTTCTTTTCATTGCATGTTACAAATTGAGTTACAAAAATTATTTTCTTTTTAGATGGACTGAAAGCATGAACATTAAAAGGAATTCTCTTATCTTCCCTTGTAGGGATGCTGAATTACCACTAGTGAGAGAGAAGCGCAACTATCTCTGTGACCTAATGAAAGTGCCGAAACCGCAACTAGTGTCCAAGGTAGAGTGTGGAGTTTTTGCTATAGAATTTTCCTGAAGAAACAAAATTAGAAGCATCAGTTATTTTACTAAATATTCTGTACTTGTTAATGACATCTAGAAATCCGAGCCCCATGGGATTGTGCTACAAGCCTAAGACATAAGTACAGAATGTATGGAATTGTCTAAAACAGTTTTTATAAAACCCTCCAATCCAATTCCTTGAAAACATTCCAGACTTCTGGTGTAAAGCTCAACTTACTAAGACAATGCAAGCATGAAATAATGTAGCACAGATGCCTGTGTGTACAGTGTGTGTGTCTGTGTTTTGTGGAAAAGAATGGTAAGAATTTCCCCTTCAAATTTAATAGCAAAACTAAAATTCCATGACTTATGTGACTTCCTATAAATTGATTCTGCATTTAGGACAAAAAAGGTATTGAAAGATTCAGGAAAGTTATATTCTAAAACCTAATAATAAATAAAGCACTCCTGAGAAGTGACAACATGTAACCTTAGGAAAGAATTTCCTTACTCAGTTTAATGTACATATGATGGGCCAGATTTGCAGAAGTATGCAGCATGAAGACATAACAGTTTTGAGTACAGCTCATCTTCCACAGGAGGAGAACTCTGCTTTTGATCACTGTGACCCTAAGCCAGAGAAGCATGAGAGAGGTTCTTTTCCTCCAGATATGTCAGACAATGGGGAGGAAGATGTTGGCCACCAGGATAAGCAGGCTCAATAGAACCAAGGACGAATATTAAATACACTTGTCCTCCCCCCTTCGTGCAAATTGTTAGGGAGACATAGAAAATGGTTCAGGTGGCAGGCCCTGAAATTCTACAAGGTCACTCAAAGGTGCACTCTTCACTGTCTAAACTTGATGCAATAGATAATTCCTGCAGAGGGAGTTTTCTTACTAAAGGACCTTGCAGGCATAAAGATAGATGCCGTTCTTAGAACAGACTTCAGCAGCCCTACTGTCTCTAGGAAGCATATGCTTGCTAGTGCTACAGTGTCCTGCTGTGATGAATTAAAAACTTCTACCCTCAGACCAAAGAAGAACTCACTGATACCTAAAGAAATACCTTTAGCTGCTGCATTCATAAAAAGAGGATGCATGGACTCTCGGTTGTCATGGCCCTAATTCTGGACTTAAGAGCCCTGATCAGTGTAAAATTTATCTGCATCTCAAAAGTCTTAGTTGGAATCCCATTCATGGAGAAGCTTGATAAGATGGTAACATATTATATGAACAAAGTATTAGTTTCCTATTCTTGTGAGATCAGAGACAGACTGGGCAGAATCTCATTTCAGTCCTATTCACAGCAAAAGTAAGAGTAGAGATTCTTCCTGTTCCAGGAGAAACACCTAGGCTCAGAGTTTGGATTTTATGTAACTTTTCTTCCAATCTGAACAGAGTGACTGCGATAGGGCCTGCTTCCCTTCAAAAATAGGACCCAGGTTAGGATATCCTGTGTTGCAGGCATCAGATTCCAATCCAGTTCAGAGAGATGATAGTGTAAGATGAATATTATCTGGAGCTTCAGGCTCTGTAGCTTCAACAGATGAGAAACAAACCACACCAAAAGCAATAGAGCTTGTCCCTTAAGGCACTTCCAGGGCTCTCTTCCATCATCATCATTGAAGAAAGGTATCAGGAAGAGTATTGGACTGCAAGAGTATGAACAGCCTGATGAAGAAAAATTTCAGGACTACTGTAGTCTTTCTGGAAGATCTAGCAGACATTTACCTCCATATTCCAGTGAGATTCTCAAATAGGGTGGAGCATGCATTGGGACATATACTTGAAGTATAGCTAATAATTCTGAACAAAAATAATCCAACCAAAATGTAAAGGCGAAGTTCTTCATCAGGGAAGCGGACCAAAAATTGCTGGGACTAGACTCTAGTTCACAGATGGTCAAATCTCTCCTCTCCCCACTTCAACTATTGAGAGGATCAAGGGACACCAAGAATGCTGGGATAGTTGAGCTTCCACAGAGGTCTCCACTCCATTTTCCCAATTGGTAGGATTTCCTACACTGGAGCTGTATGCTGCATCTCATTGTAGACAGCTAGGTTTTTAAGACTTGCAGGTTCTCCATCTCTTTTGCCTGTGTGAGACTTGAGACAACATGCTGTCACTTCAATATTGCAAAGTCAGAGCAGTGCTCTCAATCTTTCCAGACTACCATACCCCCTTCAGGAATCTGAGTTGTCTTGCGTGCTTAAAAATTACTTGTTTACAAAATCGTCACAGCCACTATTATTGAAAAATGGCTTACTTTATCATTTTTACCATATAATTATAAAATAAATCAATTGGAATATAAATATTGTACTTACATTTCAGTGTATATAGAGCAGTGTAAACAAGTCAGTGTGTCTCTGAAATTTTAGTTTGCACTGACTTCGCTAGTGCTTTTTATGTAGTCTGTTGTAAAACTAGGCAAATACCTAGATGAGTTGATGTACCTATCCCCTAGAAGACCTCTGTGTACCCCTGGTTGAGAAACGCTTTCTTAAAGGATGGCCTAGACTTGGCCTGCAATCACTTTGCATTCAACACACTAGCTCATCTACATTTCTAGGTACATCACCAAATGATATTGAGGTTCCATAGAGTAGCATATGTGGCCAACCAGCAGTCAAACCTCTTCCCTAGCTAGATTCGGTCTACAATGCAAAGATCCTCACATTCAAACTTATGGCATTTTATTCCTTTCCCATAACGATATGCTTCTTCGTTGCAACCATGTGAGCTAGAAGAATTTTCAAAATCTTCATTCTCAGATACTACCCATAATGCATCTTCTGTGAGGACAAGACAGGTCTTAATCTTGAGTACAGATGACTCTAGGGTAATTCTTCTTTTGTTTTTCCCAAAGTCTCAACACCATGTGGCAGATCTGAGAAGAGCAGTTCAAGTATTCCTTAGTAGACTCAATTAGCTTAGTAAAACTTCATTTTTATTCTTCTCCCTGTAAGTTACATGCATGTACTTGAAAGTATCTAAAATCATCCATTCTTAGCTAGATTAAATACTGTTGCTGAAGCACATTCATCAGCAGAAGAGGTTGGAACCTACTCAACGCTTCCACAGTCAGCAGCCAGAACAAAAATCTGTAAAATGGCTACCTGGTCATTCATCAACACCTCACATGCTTGACCCTTTATTCTTCTTCAGAAGAAAATGTCAGCAGGAGCATGCCCTCAGCTGTGGATTTAAAATAGATTAACACTACTTACTTTCGGGAAAGGGTAACATTCTTCTGTCCCATTTGTCATTCAATCCCTATTCATTCTTCTTTATTGCTCTCTATGCCCCAGACTGGGGGAAAGATTGTGATACAGAAATGTGTTAAAATGGGGCAAACTGTGGGAAGTAAGGATTTGCTGTTAATTTATACTTAAGGTCTTACTTAAAATGCAGAATTTCCCCCACAATTTTGGAGGTATTCATACTGGTGGAAGGGTTGTAGCCAAGCCCTGGAACATCAGATAAGATGCAACTGCCTCTGGTGTTTGCAAGTAGAGATACAACCCAACTGTGTTGAGCTGTAAGAAGTCAGGTTCAGAATGGAAATAATCATGTAACACATTAAGTCACAAAACCAGTTTTTGTTTTTTGTTATCAAACATTGATAGTTAAAGGGCCAAGAAAACCAGCTGCTGAAGTGATTCTTACTCCCCTGATATACAGTTAGTTAATTTGTACAGCAACTGGAACAGATAATTTTGTAAATTTGATAAAGAAACATTCTTAAAGTTCTCATCTGGTAAATCACTCTTGTTTAAAGTGAAAGCTAAACTTGTGAGAGCTGGTGTTTTAATGAAGTGGGAGATTAAGAAGCTTGTTTTACTATCAGTGTTGACTGCTCTTTGCTTCATCAGTTTTATGATTAAGCATTTCAAAATGTAGAAGGTATAAATAATTGGTAAGAAAATTGTCTTGAGAGCTGGGTGAGTTTTATTCTTAAAACTTGAAGACTTAGATGAAAGAGTAGAAAGAAAAGTGAATCCATTGATATAAACAAGATAATATGATGCACCTGTGTGTGTGTGTGAAAATATTATTGCAAATACTGTAATGCAGATCTTTCCTTTGGTATCCCATCAAAGTCATTAAGGTTTCAGGGCAGAATTTGGTGCTTTACTATTTCCTACGCATGTTTTCTAGTAATGTTAATTAAACACTTGCTAGAACAAATAGAAGTTTTCAAGTAAACTGCAAGGTTATTTTCATTTTTGCTAGTACACCTCTACCCCGATAGAACGCTTTCCTCGGGAGCCAAAAAATCTTACCGCGTTATATTGAACTTGCTTTGATCCGCCAGAGCACACAGCACTGCCCCCCCCCCCCGAGCACTGCTTTACTGCATTATATCGGGGTAGAGGTGTATTAAAGAATGACAATCCCACCTGCAACCTACTGTGTATTACTAGTGGACGAGTTTCACAGCAGTGAAATCCACTGACACAAACACGTTTCAGTGGGGAGGGGGAGAGGGTGTATGAGAAAAAAGACACACCACCTTCTACCTTTCGCTGAGAGCTTGCTTCATAAAAGTAGAGGAAAATAACAAACTTGATTAGATAAAGCCAGGAATAACATTTGAATATTTTCATTTTACAAGCCACTTGAACTTTATTTATCTTTTTGAAAAACCTGTCAGATGAATAATATTTTAAAGGTTGATTCAACTTTTTTTTTTAAATCTAGCAGTTGTGATATTTACCCTCTGTTAAAATACAATTCACTTTTAAAACAAAGTCCTATTTTCCTTTAGTTTGCTCTAGTTGATAACATGCATTCAGTTATTAGCTGGATTAAAAGTAGCTGAGTACCCTAACCTAAAAGGAATTTCATAAGTTCTTCTTTTTTTGTTTCCTGTATGTAGAGTGCAGCATAGTAATGCAGTCAGTCTTCTCTGTTGCTTTGAAAACTGAAGCTCTCTGGCACTTGCGTCATGAAGAAGGAAGTGATCTGTGCTGCAGCATCTTGATAAACTGGAGTTTGACTGAGCTACAAAATATGATTAACAAAATTAACGTAAAGAGTAAAAGCACGTGTTCAAAAGCATCACACAGAGAGATACCACTGAAAAAGCAGGCTGTTTATCTGTCAGTATCTCTGACCACAATATAAAGTAGGCAACAAAGGTCCATTATGTTTTCAATTCTTAAATTTATCTGTAGCCACAAGATGGCAGTTTGTCCTCGTGATCTTTGTCATAATTGAGCTGCTTTTGAATGCCAATGTCTTGCATTCCCCTCAGTAAACCTGAATTAGTGTGTCTCCTCTAAAATCATTGAGCTTGTACTTGTGTATTATACATTTACAGTTGTGGATAATGCTTGTGGTCAAGATAAATATTTAAGATGATAATGTAACAGTTCAGAGTGGCAATACTTAATGGTAATACCTCTCTCCATAAACTGTTCTTTCATTGCCTTCAACCCTGATATCTAGTTTGCAAGCGAAAGCAGACCATCTTCGTTCTGGGTAAGGTCAAAGCCTAAAATAAACAGAGACTGTCGACTCGTGTAAATGAGTGGTGACTTTGTGTTATAAGGTAGAATTCAAGAGACATCAAGCAGAACCTCACTTTTCCAACGGCGGAGTACAGAGGTGACAGGTCAGTGCTTCAGCCACTGCCCTTACTGTTAGACATTTTTAAAAATCAATCATCCGCATTTTCAAAACCAAAATTGCACCCAGTCATTCTCCATAAAGAGGCACCTAATAAGAAATGATACAACAGCTGATTTTTTTCCCCCTACAGAAAGGCCAACTATAAAAAGCCATAACTTAACTGCATTTGATGTTGAGAAAACCTACCTCTACTGTATAGTAGAAGAAAAGTGAGTGACAGGGTAAGCACTTGCAGCATGCTCTGCTCTAACAGAGGGGTGTGTGGAAACTGATTTTTAAGCTTATGTGACATAGAACAGTAGAAGGACAAACAAAAAGGTAGCACAGGCTCTTTTGACTGGGTTTATATAGCATACTAATTCTTTCTCTAGATTCACAAGGGAAGTTAAATATATGAATTATTTGTGACCAGTGTATTAAATTGTTCTCTTCCTGAAGCAGAAGGGAAGGAGAAATATCCAAATGCTAGCGTGGCATGATTTTCAATTTTGCACAAGTGAACAAGCCCAGAAAACTAGCTTTTGTTAGTATTCATACCAAAATGACTTTGCAATGTATATGTATTTGAGATCTATCCCAAAGAAGTGGCCCGTTACCCTTGAGGACCTACCTTCACAGGTGTAGGAATGGCTCACACCTCAAATGCCACTCCTAGAAGGTGGCTGTGTAGCTTGTAGAACAGAGGTTTTTTAAACTGGGGCGCATCCCCAGAGGAACATTGCAGCAGGTGAGCAGCCATGACATGCAGCTTGGGCTTCAGCCCAGCATAGCAGGGCTTGAGGAGGGAGCGCAACCTCCATCCCCTGACTCACCTCTTTTTGTCTGGGTTGGGGGTGGCGCAACCAAAAATTGTAATTCCAGGGGTACATTTCAAAAAGTTTGGAAACTGCTGTTATAGTGGCATCTTGGTCCTAGCCCAGACACCAGACATATATCAAATCCCCACTGATTAAGGGTGCAGATGTCAAGATCCCTTTAGATCATTACTGCTCATATAGCAACATTTGTTCCTTGCTTGGTGCAAAAACAGCACTGGGCCAAATCAAGACAGAACCTTCTCCCCCACAAAAGGGTGAACTCGTTCATTTAAAATCTATGAAAAATTAAGATGGATTGTAACACATCAATACAGACATGTCAAAATATGTTTAAATCAGAAAAATTAAACTAAAAACAAACTATTACTAAAATGTTTAGATTTGGCACTTTAGAGGTATCATTTCCACTGATAACAGAATTACACAAAATCTTCAGCTGTATCATGTATTACTAACTAGTCCTTTAGAGAGCACTTTATTACTAGAATCTAGAAAAGACTTTTACAGAAATATTTCTTTTAAATTGTTTCCCGAGAATAATCAAGCAATTGACAATCTTATGAAGGGTTCATCATCGAGATGTAGCTTGGAAAATTCTAGGTTTCAGAAATACAGGAGTATATTCCTTCACAGTCTAGAATGGACATATCTCTTCTCTCATGCCTATCCTTGTGGGAAGTTGTGTACCAACCATTTTTTGCTCAATTTTACACTACCTGAATGGTTATGGGCACTACTGGAAACAAACAGCAAGTAGTATAACCACTGTTTGAATTGTACCAGCTGAAGATAATAGTTGGCTGTAAGAATAACTTTGCGGCCCAGTTTGGCAGCTGGCTATATAAACCTGACATGTTTCCTTTTCTTTCCAAGTAGACTCAAAAAACCCCTCTACTACTACTACTATTTCATTACCAACTCTCATCCTTGTACTCCCATTCTTAGCATGGGCCTTTTTTTTTTTGGTGAAGATTTGCTTTAGGGTATGTTCCGAAGTAGGAGTGTGAGCTGTGGATCAAGGTCAAAATGGATAAAGCTCCAATGGAATCCCCACACTATTAGAAGCTTTAGTTTTATAAAGATTGTGGTATAAAAATATTCAATCATCATTAAAAAACAGTCATATGAAACTCAAATGAGAAATACCCTCTGTGCTATGAACCTCAGCATTGGCTCTTAAAAATAATACTCCCAAACTGGGGTTGGCTTCACAGCCATGCAGCACAAAACCCTGTATTAATCCACAGAACAGGTAGGACATGGAAAATGACCGGACAAAGTACGCAATCCTGAACAGGACCCACCTACATGAGTGACAGACTTGGTCTCCATAGCTCTCACAATCTTTAGCTTTGCTGAGATTACCAAGTCTGGTCTCAATTGAAATTCAATGAATAGATACCAATCTGCTGCAGCATAATAGTTAGAGATGCTGCTAATTGGAGTGAGATCAAAACAAAGCCTCTACTAAAGCAGGCTGGATTTAAAATGGCCATTTAGAGCCAGATTTTCAAAAGCGCTTAGTACCCAATCTGGTTTTAAATAATATGCAGTAACAGAGATCTTTTGTGCAGTCACCTGTAGATCAGTGGGATGAGTATAAAAATTGAACCATTTCATCTCTCTACGAGAAACTGACAATGCAAAATTCTAGTGCAGGGATCACGCTCTCTTGAAAATCTGGGCCTTAGGGGTTTAGTTACCAATCCCGTGGTGTGAGAAGCCAAGAACACCTTTTTCTGTACTATTCTAGAAAAAAAGCTCCAGCCACTTTTTTCATGTAAATATTACATTCTGAGCAGTAAAGGATAAACACTGTGAATTTATAATAGCCTTTTCCTCAGCTTCTAGCTGGTAGGCATAGACTGCAATTTCAGGCTGTTTTACATGTAACTGGGAAATCAGAAATATTTACCAGAAGCACAGAACATGATCAGCAACTGGGGAGGGCAATGGAATGGGGGTCTCAGTATTGATAATCTATACATGGAATTATAAACACTGAAGCAGGGGTGGAGTCCTGGGAACAAGAGTGAAGTGATGCACATGATTAATCAATTCAAAACAGGGTATGCATGGCAGTAGCAGGGAAATGGAGAGGCAGGCTCAAAGTTACAGGCCTCTTTTCTGAAAGGAACCATTATTAACCAGGAGTTTTGGAGGTGGGGAGGCACTCTTCTCCACACAGATTTTATAAATTAAATTCTGCACAGCTGGTCAAGGAAGCAAAGACAGCAGCACCCTTTTACTAAACAGAGTGACAGCACTTGCTGGAATTCTTTAGAATTTGAACTTAGTATATTTTTGTATTAAATTTGAGTATATTGATGGTATAACATACAGCCTGATAGGGAGTGGCTCTGGGTGCTGTGAGCCATTTCACCAGCTCAGACCAACTAACATTCAAGTAGGCAACACTTCTTGGCGTCCAGCCTTGTATCATGCAGACAGAGAAAAAAGTCAAAAGATAGTGTATACTATATGGCCCCTCAGTGCTATGCAATTCTCAGGCTGTCAGAATCACCCAACGAACAAGAAAGATGAACACAAAAGATAAAGATACTGATAAGGGAACAACAGTAACTAAGACAACCCTTTATTCTGTGATTAAATAAGTAGCGTAACTAGCAACAAAAATATCTGTTACTTAACCAGAGTAGAGATTTTCCAAAATAATTAGTGATTTTAGGTGGCCTACTTAAGAAACCTTAAATGGGTCTAAGTTTTATAAAGTGCTATGCAATTAGAATCAGACCCAGCTAATGTGTCAAGCTCGGGGTCCCGGAATCCCTAGGTAAAGTAAATTACCTCTTGATTATGTTAATTCACATATAATAAACCACAAAGTGGCATATTTCACTTGAGAGATAGTCTAAAGCAGAAGCTGACCTGAGGTTTAGTTCCTTCTTGAGCAAAGGTATAACTTGAGGTCCCCAGTGCAAGAAAAATGTTACTTCCATGTTAGAAAAAATCTACTTATTTTTAAGCATACACAATAGGAGGCTGAGTGAAAGCTCTGAGCATCTATATACATTATCCTCTGGCTTCCAAATCACTTCCCATATACACTGTACTCCTAAAACGCCCGAATCACAGGGATGCCATAATTTAGGGCCTCTTTAATCCCTCAGCACTAGCAGTTCACATAGATACAAAGCAGTAATGCAAAGATTTTACCTCAGGAAACACCAGCTGCTGTTGTCAGTAGCAGGAGATTAACCAACTCCAGGGAATGGCTTGGGGCCCCTGACCACTCTGGACAGAACCTGAGTCACCAAGGTCTCAACACTTTCATTGTTGTGAACATTTAAACTGCTGTGTACATTGTTTGCTATGGCTTTAGTGTTTTCTTATGGTAGCAGCTTGCTCTGTAATCTAATGGATAATACTGGATGGGCCACTTACACCAAGAGTATAAGCAGCAGTAACAAATTTTGTACACTTAAAATTAGCAACAAAAATAGCACTTTCACTATTGTTTTTGTGATAATAAGCAGGAAGAATCACTATTATAAACTGACTGCTAAGCCAGTAATGTGGCATATTAACAACTGGTAAATATAGATATCAAAGGAATAACTTTATCCTGCCTTTAGAAAAGACTAAATGATTAGAAGAGATACATTGGGTGAAGTTCAAATTACTAACTACAAAACCTAACCCTCTCTGGACATAGTTTTGTTTTTAACATACACATCACTCAGGATACATAAAGCACCAATTTCACTGCTGTACCTCAGTGTTCAGTTGAAATGATGATAATCCAGTCCCTCTTTCAAGTGTAGTGTGGCCAAGTTTTCTTCAAATCCTCCACCTGTCAGATCCTGTGGGATGAGACACAGCATTAGTTCATTCAGGTGAAATGAAGAAAATGGGATCAGTTGTTGATCTAAAAATTAATAAAAAAACAGTTGAGAAATCTATCTGTGCATACATCCCCCCACATCCTTCTAAAATGATTGCATTAGTTTAGAAACTCATGACCCTAGACAGCTTATTTCAAGAGAATAGAGAAAGCAAAAAAAAAGTTTTACTTCTATCTCTGAGTTCAAAGTCTGTTTTGTTCTTTCCTTCCCTAACTGGTCATGTTCTGGATCAACCCCCAACGTACCCCCCCCTGCCAACCCCTGGAAACAAAAACCTTGTAACTCCAGAGAGAAATACTGGCAGCTTTCAGACTCTCTTTTCATCCTCAGCTCATGGGGTGAAAGCCGGCATGTTCAAGAACTTTTCCAAGATAGCCCAGGGGGGATGGTCACCAGTTCAGACTGCTGGCAAACAGCTCATTCTAACTGCTAAGCACAACACAGGATTTGCACTGAAACCAGCTCTGCAGAGGACTATGTGTGTGCTTTTGTTTTGTTTTTTAAGTACACACATTTTAAGAGACTGGAACGAGGATGCCATTTAACAAAGTAGTAATAATTGTGGATTTTGCATAATGTGCTTGGCTGGTGAAATACACCTTTCAACAAGCAACTGGCATATTAACCATAGTTACAGGTGTTTCCTTCAAATCCTTTTTACTGTCTGGACAAGAAACTCTGTATTTTTGTTCCATGCACAATATTGCAAGGCAGTGATGTCATTAAGTAAACACGCCAACCTCAGCATTTCTGATGTGATACTTCGCCCTCCTATAGTCTTTAATTTCACAAATCTTTAAGCTCTTCATAAATAATTTATTAATCATGACAATACCTTAAGATGTAAGTAAGGGATAAACCAGGATTGCTGCAGCATCCCTTTGAGTGAAACACAGCAGCTGTGTTAAGCGCTTTAACAACGCACACCACCACTATGAAATCATACAGGAAAGAAGTGAAGCATAATACGTACAACTGAAATGGCCGGAGGAATTCAGGGAGGCAGAATGTTCAACTGTCCTGGTCAAAATCTGATGAAAAAATTGCTGTGGGATCTTTAATGACCACAAACTGTCAGAACCTCAGCTTTACTTCTCACCCAGCTGAGGACATCTCCAACTTCCCATATCACCGAGGGGCAGTCAAGGAAGAGAGCCATCAACAGAATCTCTTACAAACACGACTTCCCTTAGCATCTGAGTGTTCCCTGGAGGTCTCCCATTCAAAAAATGAACTGCCCTAATCCTGCTTTAGCACATAAGATGTGAGAATGCTAACAAAAGTATCCAAGTAGTGCTAATGTCATGTCTATAACCTGGATCATTGCTGCCTTTGGGGAAATAGATGTTGGATTGTGTGAGCATCAGTAAAGCTGTGTTACTCCCTCCTTTCATGTTCCTCCACTTCTCAGAGGGTCAGGTTTGTGGTTCTGACTTTTTAAAGAACAACTCTTCATTCTTTCTCCTGCTTGAACTGACAGATGAAAGGAAACATCTGCAGGCACATTGCTTCAGACCTCAAACCCACCCCAGCGAGCTGTGCCTCAAAACCATATGGCTCTCATTACCTTTTTTCAGTTCTTCCACTTTAGTCTGCTCGGCAAAAAGTATTAAGAAAGCTGCTGCTGATGCTGTGCTATTTCAGCAACACGGTAACCACAAGCCCTAGTGCTAGTATTTATTGAACTCTGATGCTTTCTGTGCCTGAGAGTGATATAGTGGTAGCTAATACATAATTTACATAGCACCTTTCATCCCAAAAGAGTCTAAAGAAATTGACAAAGTGCTCAACAAAATACTTAAGTAGGGTATATGCCACTCACCACCCAAACACTGCTAGCTCTGGGGCAGAATGTGGCAGCTGGACACAGCAATACTAAACCGTTTAGCACAGGAAGTACAGATTATCACACCTAGCTGGAAGTGTGAAATAAAATGAAATGTGACTATTTACACATGGACACTAAACACAGAATCTGCAGACTTCAGAAGTGAGAAGCTTTTTTAAGGAAGTCCTTGCTTTACAAAACTAACGCCCAATTGCTCAAAACCGTTTGACAGGTTCATTATGTTTCTTTAGAGACTGCTGAGCTGGGGTGTTGGGAAGGTCCCTTTTTGTGTGTGATCTGTCCATCTCCCATTCCCTTGGAGAGACACCTCTCCCTCCCAACTACAGGGACTGCAAGTGTGCCTGTCCCTTGCACAAGGAGCCCAAGATGTGGTGGAAGCTGTGCCCTCTTCCCCCTGGCACACCTAGGTAAGAGCCAGGCACAGGATACACTTAATTCCCATGCCACCTTCCCCAGTCATTGCCACAGCACCTCTCCTCCCACTCAGGAGACAGGATAGTCCCCATATCCACAGTGTGCGCTTTATAAACAGAGCGGACTCTTCCCCTTCACCACAAAACCCCACTTCTTTTTAGAAGACCAATAGCTTCAGGGCCCCGACTCTCTCATTTGCTGAGCACCCGCTTCACCTATTGCAATCAGTGGTAGTTGAGGGCATTCAGCAGTTTGATGGACTGGGCCCTTGTTTTGTGATTCACTTGCAACCACATACGTCAGTGGTCTATGTGCAAGATTCCCCACTCAAGTTAATGTGGAATTCTACATAACAACGTATGGCTAAGTTATGACCCATGGTCTTCACCTCTCTCAAGGCCAGGACAGAGGGAGCTGGATGAGCCTCCCACTACATGGTCAGAATTCTGGGTGTAGGTTTATTTTCAAGTTTTGTTTTGTTCTTTAAAACTCAGATGCTAAATTAAGCCGTGTGGTTAAAAGGAATCCCATCATTCCCTGACCAGCAGGTTGGGGAGCTGAAACGAGGCATGGCTTTACACAGCTGAACTAATGCAAGAAGCTGCCAGGAAAACCTACTGTATTTCTCACACACTAGCTTTTGGCTTCTTAATTGAGATTTGAAAGTAGAAAAGCCCTTTTCACTTCAAGCACTTGGAATCTAACCTGAGCCACAATACTCTGTGGAATAGAACTGGAACAAGAAAGAGCATGCTCCTCTCGCCTACTCTGGAGAAAGTGAGAAAACATAAAGAATGCAAAGCTGTAGGTGAAGCAGGTTTTAAGATTTTGGGATAGAATTTGGACCATCAAGAGCAAAGATTTTAGTCTCACAATGAGCAAAACACGCAACTGCACACACACCTCTTTTCTACCTCCACAGAATTGCAGCTGTAGCTCTTTGGCCTAAATGCACTGAAAGCTTTTTACAAATGGAGCAGGGACTGCATAGTGTAGCTTTTCCTTTCAAGAACTAATTTTAAACTTTAATGACAAATAATGCCAGCATAAGCCAGAAAGATACTGCCTGCAAAATCCAGTGAGCAAGCAAGCAAGCACTATACTGAGTAAATGGCAGTCACGGAAGTTCCACAAAAACAATCCATTTATTATCTAATCTTCTCAACAGAATAGGCACAAACCAGACTTGTTTCGCAACAGCTTTAAAATCTACACTGGAACTGAAAAGAAGCTCTTCTTGTCCTGGATCGCAAAAGAAAGGAAAATAAGCCTATGGAATGCATTCTTGGACGATATTTTAAATACTAGGACAAGTCTTCAGGAGAAATGACATCTCATCCCAGAGCACAGGATATTGAAGCCCAGCATGGCAAGAGACCTTGCCATGATCAATTCTCTCAAACTGATACCACTTTAACACAGTCATTCGCCAGAACAAAACTGCTCTTTAGTTAGTGTGAGACCTCTCTTGCAAGAGCTACTGAAGGAATCATAGATAGGTAACATGCTTAGCTTCACAATGCTAAACAAGTAAGATGAATGGGTGATTAGTCCTGCCAAGTTTTTGATGTAGGGATAATTGTTTCATATTTGGTTCTGTAATTTATATTATGCCCACCCTATACAGCAATATATGGGGGAGAATCCTGTCCATCAATGGGGATGCACGGGTGCAACAGCCCAGGATGTTTAGAAGTCTGTTAATGACTTTTATTTAAGAAGAGCTTGTCTAAGAGCTGAGAGGATGTGCTGCTAATTCTGCCTTCCAGAAATCTCCGACAATTGCAGGTAACAAGTTCAGCAGGGAATATCTGGCTGGATCATACTTGTTGCATGAGCACATATTCAGATTTGGGAACTGCTACCCTTAAGCGTTTCAGAACAAGGCATGTAAGGTTGTTTTATTTGTCTGCGTGACCTGAAACACACACCTGGGCAAAATGATTTGCCAAAATGGTTTGAAAATTTCTCTAAAACATGCATTTTGTTTCCATATGGCATGCACAAGAAAGGTGTTCTTTTAGAGAGGAATTTCATGTCTCAATTATAGTAAAATTAAAGAATCTTCCTCCTCACATCATAGTGTGACTCATTAAATCAGCACTTTTTTTGCATTGTTCCAACTGATTAATTTGTGTCAAAAGGACTACAACGCCAAAGATATCCATGACTATGGAAAAGGCTTCTCATTTAATCAGCCTTAATATCAGTTTGTGTTAATTCCCCTCCCACTCCATGACTGATTATATCACTGTTTTTCTGGCTATTGCACCTAGTTTATTAGTTGTTTTTGATGAGCTGCATAACTGTGTCTACAGGCTGCTCTGCTACCTCCAACTCCTTTGTGATCATTAGCAGAGATGGGATTGTGAAAGCTCAGATCTGACAGCACGTTCTGGGGGGAGGTGAATTAAATACATAGCAGTGAGGTAGGTTTGTTGTTCAGCTCATTTTTCAGATGTGGGCTGCACAGAAAACAAAGCAAGTTCAACCAGTCTAAAAATATAACAAAGACCGAATCCTCAGCTTTATACTTAGTCTGCACAATATCATCACAGATCAATGAAAGTTCAACATCTCTGCAGATTTCAATCAGTTTAGAAACCATTTCCTCTAGTGGTCAGGCCTAAAGTTTGAGGACTTCTCCACACAGGAGACCTAAATGTTTTAAACCACAGTCAGTTACAGGCTTGTT